AGGTATCGTCAAATAATGATCATTAATATTTGAGAAGATTGTCGTCGACGCAATTCGTTATACAGAGTGTTCCATCAGAAACGAAACATGTTACCTTTCAAGAAGACCCTTTAGGGGGTGATTTAAATATCTTAAATAAAGTAACGGTGCATCCGTTGTTATTATTTTTAATAACGACGCATATTGTTTTAAATAATAATTCCAGTACCGAGTCGTTAATTGATTCTTCGTTTCACAAGCATCAGATGCAATTTATAATCCGATTGAAAGTACGTTTCGTAAGTTGAATTCGCGATATAATGGCTGAGACCAAATTAACAATGGGCGAAAAGAGGAAGTGCTTCAGAGAATTCCCATTTTGAAGTTCAAGTTGACAACAAAGGTAAGAATTCACAGGTCGAGTTTCAAGGGCGGAAGAACTATTATAGTCTCAACCCTCGAAACGGCTACGCGTGAATAGAAAGAAGTGTTGAAGCACTTTTACACCGCTCCCTCGCTTCTACACCCTCGAGGATGTTTAAACGAGAAATTCGGAATGTTGCTACGCGTAGGTTGCAATATTAAATTTCCATTTAATCGACCAACTGAATCCACAAACTGTTTACGATTGCAGAGAATATGGAACGCCATTTGTTTTACGTAAAATATATTTTTACAACTCTAGGTGCGCAATAAGGTGTTTAGAAAAAAGAATTTTTTCTTTTAAACAGTGTCAAAGGTTTCATTTAGGAATAAGAATATGCCTGTTAAAGTTTGAGCTCTTAATATTAAGATTAAGAGATTCCGCACCGTAATTCTCTATTTTGCATCGGAATAACATCGAAAACATATATTTATTTATTCGCTTCTTCTGATTTTTATAACCAGTTAACAATACGTCGTACGGAAAATCTACAGACATATTATTGTAGGAAATTGAATACTCTAGAAAAGAGGCCTCTTGTCAAAATTCCATAAAGTCGACTGTATCAAAGTTATAGTCGGTCAAAAGTTAAGTTACTTGTAATTTGACATATTTTTTAATATTACCGCGGAACTATATCAGTCTTATCAAAAAGAGGTACATGAATTTTTTGGTAAAGCATGAGTTTTACTATCAACAGATGCTAAATAATAGCTTATTTTTGCAATATTGACAAAATTGTACACTTTAAAGAAATTTTCAATAAAAATTACCTCTACAATGTTGTACAAAGATGAATCGACGGCACAATATAGACGACAATGAATTGAAATTGTTATTCAACAAAGATTTGAGCGAATTCGTCTCGAAAAACTCATTGGAGCTATATAAAAAATTTGATTTATCTTACGATCTTTTGAAAGATGATATTAACATGGTTCAATAATACGAGTCACAAAGAAACTGTGGAATTAAAGAAAAATTAAAAGTTACTAATGATGTAGCTGAACGGAACATTGCATTAATCAAGGTGGTTCTTTCCCAACTGTACTAGTTAATAAAAACTCAAACATAGAAAGTGTTAATAACGATATATTTTCTACGATAAAATTCTTCAATTATTATTTGATTATGATTTTTAATAAAAAGAAAGTAGTAATTGATATAATTATAGCTGCAATTAGTTTTTCAAGTATTTTTTTTATTCAATGTAGTAGTGTGAAATCGAACACGCGGCAACTTCGAGATGACAACCGAACTAACAAATTAGCTAGTTTGGTTGCCCTATAGCAGGGACACTTCTGCGCCTAAGATACTGCAACCGGGTCTACAAACTGGGTAGCTTCGGTTGCCATCTAACAGGGGCACTTCTGCGCCTAGGATGCTGCAACCGGGTCTACAAACTGGGTAGCTTCGGTTGATCTATAGCAGGAGTACCTCTGCGCCTAAGATGCAGCAACCGGATCTACACACTGGGTAGCTTCGGTTGCCTTATCGTAGGGGCACTTCTGCGCCTAATATGCTGCAACCGGGTCTACAAACTGGATAGCTTCGGTTGCCATCTAACAGGGGCACTTTTACGCCTAGGATGCTGCAACCGGGTCTACAAACTGGGTAGCTTCGGTTGCCTTATCGCAGGGGCACCTCTGCACCTAATATGCTGCAACCGGGTCTACAAGCTGGATACCATCGGTTGCCATCTAACAGGGGCACTTCTGCGCGTAAGATGCTGCAACCGGGCCTACAAACTGGGTAGACTCGATTGCCATCTACCAGGGGCAATGATTGGCATATAACAGCAAAGGATGAGAAATTGTGCCAACGCTCTATACCATCCTCCGAATGCATTGAAAAAGTTGTAATCTTTCTCCAATTTATGCATTGATTAATCTGGGTGTCCAATTTTCAGGTAACTACAAAGAACGACGCGATCGTCGGATACGGGCCAGTGGAACCAGACGGATACGGGTGCGCTTATAACATCAGAAGCAACGGGTTCATATTCTCGGTGTCCGCTTTTCACAGCGACGGTAGGACGAATGCGATGCGTTTCGCGCAAACACTGGAGCAAAGCCTGCGCGATATGGCTGCCATGCTAAAAATTGCTCTAGGAAAATAAACGAGCGACACGGTGAGCACAGAATGGTCGCTTTAAAAGAAAGTATCGGGATGGTGCAAGACACGTTCGAGCTTGTCGATGAAAGTATTTATCGTAGTTTGAATAGTAGACGTTTAAGAGAAATATTTATATTAGGCATAGTTAACGTTGAGTGTAATTCGAACTCGCACAATTTATCACACGGAGCTGGTTTGATAATAACCCTGCTCTCTCTTAACCTTTGGACGACCACATTCTTCAGAATTTTGATTTAGAAAAGTATTTATTTCTTCGAATTGGAAGTTGTTTTTAAGAAAGTATCGGAGATACAATCGAAGACAAATGCATATGAAGTTTTAATTAACCGGATATCTTTGTAATTACGACATTTAAATGAACAAATTTATTGTTATAAGTTTGTTTCTAATGTCGAGTTTCTAATTTATCACGAATTTTTTTTGTTTCTATTTAATTCTAGTTTGAATTCGATACACATTTTAAGGATATCGCACCTCCAAACTTTATAAATCAATCAAATTTAATATAATTTCATTTATTGTTCTAGATGTTTTTTTTTTCTTTTATTTGTTTCAACATACTTTAAATTTCTGTGAAAATATGTTTAATTAAGACGGTAGCACGCGAAGTACCTATCGTATTCATTTCCATGTTTATTAGTATTTTTATTCCAAATAGTTTGCAATATTAGTTTTTCCATGAAAATATAAATATTAATATTTTCCAAGAAAGATTTTCAGCTTGTGGTCTCTTTTCATGGGGACTGTCATAAACACTGCAGTACATTTTTGTGATCACTCGTGTGATCGTCTAAGGATTAAGAAAGAAAAGGAGAGAAAAGAAGTGAAATACCGAAGCGAGTATCATACGAGAAGCTATCGTGTCCCTTGATCGATTCATGAGGGACGATTCTAGACAAGAAAGTCTTAGCTACCAATTTTACATATCTTAAAGATGCTTTATTTTCGTTAAGAATAGTTAAAAGCTTTCCTAGTTCGATCAATTCTTCTACAAGGAAAACGCTAGCCAATGGCGTTCGTGAATGGATTGTTTACGTGATAATTTTTAAGCAATCATTCTTTCGCTCATTCTTGTAGAAGAATCATGCGCACGTAAGTACAGGTTGGTCGAATAAGTCGTGCCATTTTGGAGAAACACTTTTCTCGCTCCTCGGCCAGTTTAGATGTTCGATCATTTATCGCAAATCATCGTCAGTCGCTTGACATAATCCATCGGATCCTCTAAAACGCTTTTCTCGCTTAATCTCGCCAACTGAATTAAAAATAGAAACGATCCTGTCTAGAGAAGAATATAATGTTTCGTCTTAGTTTTAATAAATTATCACTTGGAAAAGTGGCATTCAAAAAATTGAAAAAATTGTTTACGTACACTTCACGATTTAATTGATGTTTAATAATTTAAAATTATTCCAGAAATATCTAATAATCATTAGGTGAAGTGGACATTACGATACCAAAATTTCTACAGAATGCTTGTTGAAATTTTAAGCATATAATCCTTTTAGGAAAAACCTCACGAATACTTTCAAATAATAATTTTGAAATCATGATTCTAACTTTTAAAATTTTAGTCCATTTTTTTGTACTCTACTCACTTGACCACGCCGCTACATACTTAAAATGTTAGTCGTATAACGTAATTTGATCAAGATAGTACCTCGAGATGCATCGTTTTTATTTCACCGTGACTAACGAAATATATTTGATAATATCGCATTAATAAATGTAATCATATTAACAACATCTAAGCTGACCCAGTACAAAAAGACACCGGGTAGAAAATTTACCTTATTCTAGAAACGATTTTCTCCTTATCGAGAAATTCCCTTTCAATTGACAGAATTCGTTCGAATATACATACTGTAAGTTAACTCATGATGCCTAGCATTATGCAAAACATATCAATGATCTCGTAAAGATCTGTTCATCGATAACTCACCTATCGCTATAAAGTACTCGATATCCACCAAAAACCGCGTGTGACTAGGTTCGTATCATCGACTATCTATCAGACAACAGCTTAGTCGACGTTGCAAAGTGCGCACATCTATTATGGTTAATGCACGATTGTCTGAAGGCTGCAACACAGAGAAGCCTAAAAAATGATAAAATATTTATAGGACCCAATTCAGTCCAGTCAGTCTGTTATACACTGGTTCCTCGATTTACAAGGTATTTCCTAAACGCGATACCAATTTTACACGATGTTTTACATAATATCTAATACTATTCTAATCGTTGTTTTTATTCATTTTATTAATAATCTATCTATGAATAATAGATTATCCAATACTAGTCTTGCGTAGACAATTCTTCCTGGGAAGCTCTATTAAATCTCGATAACTAGACTGCGGGCAGTCTATCGATAACAAATACTTTGTTAAGAAAACGTTTGTTATTTACATTGTTTATTAAAAAATGATGATTAATGATTGACGATTGCTTTGATTGGTAATTGAAATTTTTCGTGTTGTTATTTCATATATATATATATATATATATGATATATATAAAGTTGTAAAATTCATAAATGTAATGTGTCTTCCAAATTCGGAGGGTTTTTTAATTTATTTTCAAACACAGATGGTGTTTTGAATTCTTGCTTGTTTGGTTTTTTTTTTTTTTTATGAGTGCGTTCCTGTTACTTTATTGCACTGAATCCATATATCACAATACAATCATTTCTATTCTTCTTAACATTACATTGCCTCTTTAGTCTTGGCTTAGTTCGTGTTATCGTAACTCTGGATATTATATTTACGTTAATCTTGCCTTTTGTACTCCTCTGTTGGGGCCCACTGGCCCCCATCTAGCTAGGGTACCTCGGGGTCGCTAAGCCCGTACTGTAGCTGCACACAGAGTGTCCCAAAATTGTTGGAGTTCATTGAAAGGTTCGGGGGTGATTTGAAACAACTGTTTCCTTGGAGAAAATGTTGTCCGAGGCTTTGTTAAGGAGATATTAACACATTAAGGACCGCTCACGAGATTTCTCGTGTTTTCTACACGCAGTCTCTAGATGTGCGGTCCTTAATGTGTTAACAGAAAACACCGACTAATCAGAGTAGCTGCCGCGTAGCCTATGCTACTGTGGCTGTCTAATGCGTAGCCTATACTACTGCGCCAGTCTGGCGCGTATAGACTATGCTACTGTGGCTGTCGGTGCGTAGTCTATGCTACTGTTGCTGTCAGTGCATAGTTTATGCTACTGTGGCTGTCAGTGCATAGCTTATGCTGCTGCGGCAGTCTGGCGCGTATAGCCTATGCTACTGTGGCTGTCTAATGCGTAGTCTATGCTACTGCGGCAGTCTGGCGCGTATAGCCTATGCTACTGCGGCTGTCATTGCGTAGCTTATGCTACTGCGGCTGTCATTGCGTAGCTTATGCTACTGCGGCTGTCATTGCGTAGCTTATGCTACTGCGGCTGTCAGTGCGTAGCCTACTGATTGATCGGGGTTTTCCGTTAATATCTCCTTAACAAAGCCTCGGACAACATTTTTGCCAAGGAAAAAGTTGTTTCAAATCGCCTTCCGAACCACACCTTTGATCGAATTTTTGGGACATCTCCTGTATTTACATGCTACAGCCCCTGAGGGTGCGTTGTGAATTCGCCTAGGTCTTGACATATTTTAGAAGCATCATTTATCCCATTTATAAAAATAGCTTTGTACGGAATATAAAAACGTGTTTAAATTGTTGAATTGTTTTATGAAAATCAACGTTCACAATGTCATCTGTATTTTATAAGAGAATTAAAAAAACCGCCGAGTCTGAAAGACCCGATATTCTAAATTCGTAAGTGTTAAAGCTCGTAAATTCGTTATTTTATACTGTATGACTTTGTTACGAACTTCGAAACTTTACAAACATTAGCTAGGTTTATCGATCGCATATTCTGTAACTTTATAAAGCTGTCCTAATTAACATGTACAAACTGAATTTTATAAACATTGTAAATCGAGGAGAGATAGAAAATGTAGGAACGAAATAACACAAGGGAATCTAAACTCATCCTAAATGAAAAGCGCCTCGGTAACGGAGCTATCTAGCCCTTGATGATTTCCGAAACGTCGGCAGCAAGCTGTAATCAGACGTGACATCAACTACAGCGCGGAATAACACACGCGAAAGTCTTAAATCTAAAAGATTTTTCTAAAAAATTCTTCGTTAACGCGGGCACTATAATCTTGTTATCCCTTTCATAGGACACGCGTACAAATACTTATCTCATAATCAACGACCGAATTCGACTGACAGAGACGAAATTGTTTAAACGTTAGTCGCTGCGTGTAGTAGGCAATATAGATCGGTCGGTTATTGTAAACACTAGTCCTATTACAAAGAACCTCGAACGTTAACTCCTCGACCTACAAGCCATCTCCCGATTGCTCGAGCCATAATAAACGGGAAGGTAGGAAGTCCGAACGAAGTACCACGAGTCAGACTCGTGCTTGTTGTTTATAGCCCAAATTCCTTACCACGAGTTTGACTCGTGGTTGTAGGCCAAAGGGTTAACGTCCGAGCGCTGGAAGTTCCTTTCCACCGAAAGCGAACAGTTTCGTTGTTTTCCTTGCCGCTTGATTGTAATCGTTAGTTAGTAGTAGTTAACGACAAACGGTCATTAATGGTAACGTATCGTTAAACTATTGGTGCTTTGGTAAATTTGATCCCATCACTTTACGTGTTCTAGCGTGCTGTAACTTAATTATAACCGAACGATTAGTTAGTGTTATTTAGAAATATTCAAAGGCTGCAACGTCTGGACGTATAGTTGGCTGGAGTAATATAGCGAGGTACTTAAATGATACTTTAACTCTTTATTGGGTCGAAAACTGTCCCGACTTTTATTTACTTGCAGTATTTTTTAATTGTAAGTTTTTTTCATTCAGCTGCTATGAAGTAACGCTACATGTTAGTTAAGTGAAAACAGATTATTATACAAGTCAAAACGCATTAGCAAATTGTTGACATAGGGAGGACAACTATTTTTTTTTTAAATCACCTTTAATTTCTAAAATATTTTTCTTTTGAGAAATAGAAAATTTTGTTGAAGAAAAATACAGCCGACATCGGAAAGGTTTTTGAACCTCTCTATACTTTTTCCATCGAGTAAACAAGTATATAGCCTGAAAAGTTTAAATGGAACGTTGTAGAAGATTTCAAATAATTTAGCGTAAGTTGTTGACTTAACAAGATCTGTTAATATGTTCAGAAACAATGGAGTTTCTTTTTATTGTTAACTATATAAGCATAAATTTTATAGTTGACCGCGTCTACGCAAAGTGTTCGTTTCATTAACTACGTAAGTATATAAGCATATACATAACGCTTTCCAGAATCGTATTCTGTCGTACACGTGTCTTTAGAATTATCAATTATTCGAAGGCAACATAGCGAAATTCTATAGACTTCCCTATATAACTTACATAGTAACTTATTTACAACATTATTATTCGATTATGTACGTCCTACGAAAAATAATTGACCTCTAAAGTCTATAACTACACCCTTTAATATTTATCTATATCGTGTATGTTTAAAAGTGTTTAAAGCTTTGAAATGGTAATTATTTTGAGGACTAAGCAATTACGCATTTTCGCTTGTATATTTTTTCGTATCATCGTGCAATTGTAATTTAAGGGGAAAAAAATGTTTGAGCACAAAACATGACAAACTACATTTTCGAATTAAAATACGATTGTATTTCTATTAAAATTACGAAAGTATTTTCAAACGCACACATTTACGCGAAGGAATTTAACGAGTATGCCATGAAAATTACCGAGTTATTCGGATTTACAATGCAATTTTTTAAATTAAAAGTCGGAAAGTCGAGTTAAAAATTTGTTTTTCATATTTGCTAAATTTTCCGAGAAATGGCGCCAACTTCAATTTAGAAATTCTCCTGCAATAAAAATGGCAACACGATAGCTCACCCAACATTTTTGTTTATACTTTACATCAGGCCATTTTAATATAAAATATTTAACATTCTTTTTTATTTATGTTCTGCAAGAAATGCAGTTTTGATGAAAAAAAGGATATACAATTTGTGTAACTATAATAAGTACAATTTTACAAGTTTTTGAGCAATTTTTAATTTCATATTTTTGTATGTTTTTAAAAAAAATTCTAAAACTATGCTTTTTTCTTATGTATATATCGTTACCTAGTCAATAAATCGTCACAAAATATTTACGTATCCTTATTTTATATCTTTTGGGTTGCGCAAAAGTTTAAGAAGCCCTGCTTTACACCGTAAATTCTATTATTATTTATTTATTGCTTTTAAACCGAATATGGTTTATATAGCATATACGTTACATAAACATACACCGTAAATTCTATTACGCAAACCTCATAATTTCTGATTAGAGCACTACCTCCCTTCCAAATTGTCACAGCTCTCTACTGATCTTGTGACGATGTAAAAGGGAATGGTATCCCTCGTGATAAGAATCGTGTATCTCTAAATACAAAAAAAAAAAAAAAACATAAACAAAACCATTGGGTGGGTTATAATTATGTCTCGCGCTATAGTTTGACCGTGCAACATATCGAATAGACGCAACGAAGAGACAGAATAGACGATTAGAGACCGAGAAACTAACCACGTTAGGTAGAGAAGAGATTTCTAGCGCACGGACCTCGTCTGTTGCAAACACATTTTAAACGTGGCCAATCGTTCGTGTGTTGGCCCCCGCACAGTACATTCCTGTCCAATTCTTAGGTAGGTCGGCGATTCGCCCTTCTTTGATAGACCGGCGAACGTCGACGATAGCTCTATCTGTCTATCACTTTAATCTTCTACGTCTAATAACTACTGTAACTAGAGCTACTTCTCTTAAGTACCAAACTCTATCGATAGCGAAAGATTTAACTTTATCAACCCGAAACGTATAAATGCTATCGGTCGGTGCTATCCGCGTGCTGACGTCGTTACGCTTGCTCGGTTGTAACGAACGAGCAGAGTTTACTGTATTTGTAACTTACAATTAGTGGATACGTGATTACGTGAGTACCATAGATATTACTGATACAGATTTCGCCGATACCATATAGATTTGATCGACAGCAATATTGGTATACATTTTCTGCGTTTAATATAAAGATTTATCTACTGTAACGCATGTAATTGTCCACGCAGAGAATGTATATCGCGATTAATATTGGTGTTGGTCGAAACTACCGTCAGTGAATTCTCCTCGACGAAATCTGTGTCGGTGATTTCCATGGGACCCGAATACACACAAGTACACGCATCTGTTGACATTATCGATATTTTACGAAGTTCGTTAACTCTATTGTAAATTACTTCCTCTGTACAGACACGTGTATCGCGTCGCGTACAGACCGAAGAGCCAAGCGAATCGAACCCGCGCGAGCTCGAATCTTGGCGCGCGTTGGCACTCGCGAGATCCGAACTTACGTTGCCTCCGGTCGCCTTGGCTTTTGAGTCTGTACGCGGCTTTATGTAAGTTCCCATCTAAATGTATATGTATATTGTCGTTATACGATGGATTTATTATCGAGTATTAGTCAGTGATTTGATTTTACCAACGAACAGTTGGAAAATTTGTTAATACTCTCTAGCGGTTCCATAATGAATCACTGTATAACGTATAACGCGGTTCGTATAATTTTTAAATAGTATTTACTAATACGACACCTCTAAATTAATTATTTAAATAATTAATTCTAACTGAAACAAATAATCTTAGCAATCTTATCGACGGTAAACGAATATTTGGTTGATTGTTTTATGGAAATATATTTTAAATAAGCGGACAAATGTTCGCCCGAATCGCTAGTACTAGTTGATCAGAAATTTTATATAAAAACTCTAAGATGTTCTGCTTTTTCTTATCGCTGAATGAATCTTTAAATGGCGCGAGGAATTGAGAAGGTTCCTTGAATCGTTACTAAATAAAATTATATGCAATTATATACATAAGCAACTATGCACATATCAACAAATACGCATTTACGCATAAGAGAATGTATAGATATTCCGCGCATATGTGTACGATATATGAAAGTGTTCTGTATTAGTTTAAGATGCAAATACCTATTAGATGTAAGGTAAAATAGTATGTTATTTAAAATACTCATAATAGGTATCGCAAAATCATTGCGATTGCACCTTTGCGGCCAAGAATATCGCGCATATCAGGCGAAAGCCACCGTAGCGACGATTTTATCAAATAGGACACGTCCTTGTAACTGATAGAATTGCTTATAAAATGAAGTTAACTGAACCGACGTCACGTATATATCGAAAGTTCGGTCAAACTTCTATAAAAAAATAATCGTACGAAGACAACTATCGCTAGCGTGAAATTATACATATGAATTATAAAATGTGATAGTAACGTAATTGATAAGAATTGTAACTGTCGAGAACGACCAAGAAATCGTGAGTAAAACATTGTTCGCGAAATAGTCGTCTTCGTATGCGATATATCTAATGATTATTAAACTTGTAAGCACACTTCGCTTTCTGTTTATACAGAAAGCATACACGACATACCTCTGTAATTAATTTAAACCAAGTATGTTGTATTATGTGTACGTTTCCTTGTGCAAAATAAACATTATTGTGACATCATCTTTGTAACTATTTTATTCCATTTACAATATAGTGTTTACAACAGTTACAGTACATTGCTTGACTAAAAGGAAAGGATTAAAAAATAATTTAAAGTACACTTGTGAATATATTATACAAATACCTCTCTCGGGATTGGAATGTTAATTTTAATTTATATATGTTAACAGCTGCATAATATTTTGCTGTAGTCTTTCAAACATTTTATGAACAACTTTAGTTACATTAGGCGGTACGTGCTGCAACACGGCGTTATTTGAACAAATATAGAATCTAGATAAAATCGTTTCACTTGTTGGATAAAACTTTGATCCTTCTCTCGCTAGAAAACTTTATCTACGCAAAAATTTATTGGAATAACGTAAATGAGTGAATAAGTACTTATTCGATATATGAACGATACAGACACCGTGTATCTTTATTTTGGAAAGATCGACGCAACGTTAAATAAAATGTAATCGAATCAACATTTAACACACTAAAATTGCATTGTGTAACAATTACAATCGTAATTGTAGTTGGTAGTTATAAAAGATAACAAATTATTTGTATTCGGGATTAAAGATTACATTTGTTAATTGAATTACATTTTTTCTAACAATGTGGCGATTTTCATCATTGTTAAAGTACATAACATAAAGCTCTAAAACGGACTAGATCGTTTGCGTAGCAAATACATACTTATTTATCCATTTACGTAATACGATTAAATTTGTATCTAAATAAAATATTCGTTATTCTTATTCGTTACCTAGATAAAATTGTTCTCTACTGTAGTGTATACTTACGAAAATTGCTGAATAATCATTTTCACCTCGAGACTGAGAAACGAAATTTTTGTAATAAATGAATATCTATTTTACATACAACAATAACATAATTCTATGTATTAAAAACTGCACAGCCATCTAAATAATAGAATTGTCAAGAAAAAACATTAAAATAATCGAGAGATTTGGGCTTCTACAAGTACTTTTGGTATTAACCTTGAGTTAACCCACGGGGGTCACTATGAGTTCATGTATTTTTGAAATTTATAGATATTTCCATATGAGCAGAAAAAGGAGATTTGGAGCTGGAGGGAAAAAGTATGAAGCTCAGGTATGTAGTCTACCACGGAACCATCATCGGTTCTCCCGAAGCAGCCAAATCCGGGAGATCGGAAGATTTGTTGGTTCCATTTTGTATCCGTGGGGTAACTGAGGGTAAAACTAAGTAATATATTTAACCTGATGAAGATGACAATATTATAAAACTCGTAATTATTTCAAGTTGAAATGTTTAATTCAACTCTTATATTATGCTTGATGGCGCAGTACCGCTAAGTCAGCATTAACATCTTCGTATGCTTGCGCAAACGGTAATGTAAGTAAGGTATGCGCAGTTAATCGTTTCTTTGGGTCATGTTGCAAGCACTTATTGATCAAGTCGATGCCTTCGACACAAAGATTTTTTGGCAACGTTGGTGTTTCACCCATTCCAACCTAAGACATTTTGTACATAAAATACAATATATCCACAAATGCATGGCATGAATCACGAAGTATCGTTGCTATATCATACCTTAAACATAATTTGATAATTAGAATCATAATCTGACCAAGGTCGTCGTCCACTAGCCATTTCTATGATGCAACAACCAACCGACCATATATCAGCGGCTCTACCATGACCGCCAGTCTCCGATTTCATGAATACTTCTGGCGCCATGTAAGCTGCACAAAACAACGTTAAATCACTTTAACGGTAGAAAAAGTTGTAAAAGATACATCATACTAACCTTGAGTGCCAACAAAACCTTGTAATTCCCCAGGCATCGTAGTGTGAGCTTTAATTTGTACAGCGCTTCCAAAATCTCCAAGTTTCAAACAATTAGCCTCATCCGTTAAAAAAATATTTGCGGCTATACATAAAATATAAATATTAAATGATTTATATATTGTATTAACCCAAGTATGTAAAATGAATATGATACAATGTAGAACTTACATTTAATGTCACGATGTACTATTCCATGAGAATGAAGGACAGCTACAGCTGATAAAAGTTGATGAGTATATTTTCGAACTAACGATTCCGGCAAACCAGTTCCGCTGCCCGCTACTAGACTTTCCAAAGTTCCTTCGGCGCAAAATTCCATAAAGATTAACATTTCCTCCTGCGATAAACGGATCGTCATTAATAACTATTATAATTCTAAACGCAGAAATATTTTAACAGAACATTATCACCGTACACGATGTATTTCCAGACCATAGTATCGGACTAGATGTTTGTGTTGAATTCCTTCAAATATTTGTAATTCCTCGGCAACCCGCCTAATCGCTCGATGGTCGCCCGGTTGTAATTGAACTTCTTTCATTGCTAATAATTCGCCAGTTTGATTGTTCACTACTGTATACACCTTACCAAATCTTCCTTGGCCTACAATTAATAGTTATTACATACAATATACATATACTACTATAACAATAAATGTAGTTTAACCCATTTACCTATTTTAATGCCTCTTTGCCAGGTAAAAGTAACTCTTCTTGCTTTGATACGCACTCTATCGACAGCTTTCCTATCTGTAACTAGACCAATAAGTTCACGGCTCCTGAGCCTTTCGTCAATTTCCGATTCCACCTTTGTAATAGCGCGAATAACTCGCTCTTGTCTGGATACCGAACGATCAGGCGTGTTTAAAATCACGCCTACATTTCCATCGATTGCGCTTGGCGAGGACTTTTTAAGATTTAACGTGGTATCAGGAGATTTAAAAATATCTTTAGGCTTCTGAGAAAGACTTAGACTTGCAGTTCTGCTTCTAGTATGACAAGGTGACGAGGCTCTCGAGCGAGATAATCTTCTTAAGTCTGAAATCGGATATGCCATTGAACAATGTCTGATTACGATTGCAAGGATGATTTAATCATAACCTAAAAATAGTCACTCACTTTCTGCTTCTACGTGCGCGCCAGTATTGGCACTTCCGACAACGTGTGATATACAACGATCCATACATGTTTTCAATTCTTCAAATTCGTCATTGGTCAAATGTTTGGTGTTATGCGGTTCGCATACCGTAATTAAAAATTCTAAACCTTGGTTTGCCCATCTAGGTCTTAAACCCCTCCCGCGTTCACAGCGTGTTCTGACGAATTCCATCCACAAAAGAGCAAAAGAAACTAAACTTCGCGCTAAAACAGCCTTGTCTCCAAGCGCAAATAATTTACATGTCTCTTTATGATAGTCAAATCCCATTCGATAAGCCTGGTGAAGTATTTCTCTTATTCTTGAACGCATAGCAAATCTATCACATTCAGCCTTTGGTTCTTCTACTTCTTCAATGTCATGTTGAAAATTCTTAATAACACTTGTTATCTGATGTCGTAGATCCATAACTCTTTCCTAAATATATAAGGAATATTTGTATAGATCTTGTAGTACTTCAACTACATTCTCAACAACTCTTACCCTTAAATCTACCAATGATTCTTCCAACACCTTGGTGAAAACAGGCCATTTTTCGATGTCACGTTGTACACATCTAGCAAGGGTGACACTTTTGACGACCTTTTCTCGAGCCTCCACGAACATCCCTTGCCATTCACGACCCACGAATATAACTTGTAATCTGAACCATGTATCAGGATGGAACACATATATGCAACTACTTTACAGACAAAAGAATGAATCTTCTCTTACTTGTTTGACCAGTCATCGTCGTTCCAATCCTCTGTACTCTCATTAATCTCTCGAGGTCTTTCGTTAAGGAATTCTTTGACTTGCTTGATCATCGTTCTGGCGATTTCACTATAAACGAAGATATGAAACATACATAATATATTTGTGGAAGTGTGAAATAACACTTACCAAAATTTCACACCAGCAATTTTGTACCCATCCGATATATTTCCTGCGATCGATTTTACAAATATCCACTCATCCATGATCAAGTTCTTATGAAAACTATCATGCTGTACCATATCTACCCACTGTTGTAGATAGTCAAGATATACTTCGAAAACAGCTTTCAAACTTTCATCAAAGTCTTTTACATTTTCTTGGAACAAATGGTTGCAAGTATCAGCATCGCTACCGACCGCTGCACAAGAATGAGCAGCAAATCTGTCACGATGTATACACGCAATTCTAAGACCTTCCCTGAGTTCACGCATAAGTTGTCGAACCGATAACGGACTAGGTTGTTCCGGCTTCTGTTCTAATCTCATTCTCAGGAATTCGTGTACAACGTCCAACGGCACTCGGGAGAGAAATACAAAAGCGGCTCTGAAAAGATCGATCATTATTCATTGCTAAACTTAAAGAATGGGACATAAATACGATACATTACTCAATTTTTCTACCTATACGATGGAAGATTCAATTCTCTTGCTTCAGGACACCATACACCATATCGACGCAGCTGTTCGTCACCTTCATATTCCTCGTTTACATCACTAGATTTACTTATATTACCTTTTTCTAACGTCAGTCTTGCTTTTCTCAAGATAGAAGTGTGCAATCTCTCCAGGAAATTTAAGCTTTTTCCAAGCCCTCGAGTTTTCAACACATCTTCGATATACTTCCTATGTACCAATGAAATATAATTAGAGTGAAAGCCCTTAGTTTGAAGGACCTCTAGGCAGCTAAAGTTCACCCTGATAATAACTTTTAAATTTCACCTGTAAGCGTGCCGATCGAACTCGACCAAATAAAAATCAAGTCGCTCGCCTCTCTCGTATTCCGTAAATGTGCAAGAAGTGTCTGGAGTAGGGGGCCATGATTGTACAATAGATAAACCAGCTGATGAATTATTACTATTGTTACTGTCTGAGGGACTGGAGCATTCTTCTTGTTGATTTGATATTTCGAACCGCACCAGAGTTTGGCGATGTTCCAAAGAATCAACTGTGTCTGAGCCTCGTGAACTGAAGTAAAAGATATGAAATATTAAATTTAAAAAACAACATAATTTTCTCCGCTTCACGGAAAAACATGTTAAAAAAAATCAAACGTGTTGTTATATTACCAGTCGTACCTTATCCCAGAATCTCCAGTCTCATCGTGTTTTTTCTTGGTATGTAACATCATTAGTAATTTTCCCAAAATTTGTAATTTAAGACGATGATGTTTGGTCATATTATACCACAAACACATTGCTTTTACTCGACTAGTAAATTCTGCACTTTTATACAATGGATAATGCGCAGCCAAGGCTTGCGACGAAGGATAAAGCGCTTCTGCTGCCTCCAATCTAGCCAACAGGGCTTCCACTTGCTGTAACGCTTCACCTTGTGCTCGCGCACATGCTCTACAGTACATAGAAAGACAACCTGGACAAATTCCGAGTTCTATATTTGGACTTGAACCAGGATTCATTACTCGATCAATATCTGTGTCGTTAACATTGATCCAAGGTCCATTATTATCCTTCACATTCGCGATGGGATCGTATCTATAAACAAATGATTTGTTCTATTTTAATCTTTGTATGTTTGGAATCATCTTCAGAGTAATAATATTTATTAGTTACACAGATTTTACGCTTTTGGTATTTTTATGATTCACCTGTATTCCATTATTTCTTTAAGTAACCCTTCTACGCCCTCGCGTTGTTTACATAAATACTCGTCTTGAGCCATTGGACTACGATCTGCATGGTGAGCTTGTAATTCGAGCCATATCAAGTCTTTCAATTCGTTTTGCCATCGAGATTCTTCGTGACTCATTTGACGACGACAATTGCGTTCTGTACTCCCCTTTAACGTGTTAAAAAATTATCGTTAGGGATTGATCGTGTAAGTAAAGCTATCGACTGTGGATCCAAGTATTGTGGGTTCGAATCATCGTGCATTATTTTTTCTTTACATCTCTAACTTCTTTCCTACATCTATATAACGGCGCGAGCGTACCAATTATAAAACATTGTTTTCCTATTTTTGGTGGTATCTCCCGAGTGGAATCGGAGATGCTTGAGACCGACAGTTGTCAACGAAGTGCGTGTAAGCGAACGAGAAGTGAGCTCGCATTGATTATTTTTTCGTTTTAAATCATTTTGTATAAGTAGAGTATTCAGTTATAAGTTGTGTTGACCCGATAAATATATATATAGTGGAGCAAGTGTCCGATAACGTATGGATGACAATGTACGTTTATAAAAGTATAAGTTATCATATACGTATATGTGTAGAATGAATGCAGATTTACCAGTCTAATCAGAAAAGAAAATGTGTCGTGAAATATTTCTCGTTCCTTAAAACTCAGCGCCCTCGGTGACTGAACAACTGATTCCGTGGTATCCGAAGTTAAATTTTGCTCGTCAACTTCATATTGAACCCTCTTCTCTTCTATATCGACGGGCTTTGACCGCAGACTTCGAAATCTATTTCTAGTTTCAATCTGTAAACACTTCCAATTAGTTCTCATTTGAACGTTAGCCAAAACACTTTGTTTAGGCTTCAAACACTTAAGAATATTTTCTTTTAACGAACGTCCGTCCCATACCTTCATATGATTCGGGGTGGACGCTTTGTAGTGATCCGATCTATCGGCATAATTGTACGCCGCTTCCATGTCAAGTTTTAAGTCCCTTTCGTTGCCGCGCAACAATTTCAAGCTTCTCTTACATTTTCGATTCTCTTCCTTCGTTATGTCCTGATTGAACTCGTTCTCGCAATCTCTGTCTGCTTTGTCGCACATCTCGTTAAATATTATGTTGTCCAAAGTGTTTCGTCTGCGAATCGTTGCTTTCGATGGCGTTTCTTTCTCTAACGACTTAACATCTCTGAAAATGAACATGCCGTATTAATATCGAGCATTACAATATTATATAAGAAATTATATAATAAATAAAAGTATTCTTACAATATATCAATGTGCAATAGTGAAACGTAATAATACAACTTCGTATAACTAAATTCATTAAAAATATGAATCGAAGTGCCAGCAAACGTTCAGTCTCGATATTTTTTAACAACGAAATACAACAGTTGCCGTGATACACGCGAACTTGAAATGTTTATACATAAATTTAGCCACTGTTTCGTAACAATGGAAAAAGTTATTTTTAACAATTTATAGGTGATCTTTTGTATACACTAATCGATCATTAAAGATAATCTGACTTGCAGATAGCGATATACATAATTTTGAAATGTCTGATTCGTATAATTGTTTGAAACTCCTTTACCAGATACAGGAAGATAAATATTTAGTGAACGAGTTGAAAAGATAGTTGGCGGAGGTAAGTATACTAGAATCGTTAACAGAGGAAAACGAACAAGCTCTAATTAACTCACCCTCCACTCAGTTTCTGCTTCATATACCTCTTCTTGCGATTCAGTCGTGTTCTCGGCGGCGTCTGTCCGTAAATATCGCACATTGCTTGTATCGACTCGTCGAATTCGCTGGTTGCGCTGCTCGATCCTTTTTTGCTGCAAAAGCATAAGCCGTCGGAACGCAATTTGAATTTTCAAATCCCAATACTAAAAATACATTGTCGAATACTGTCGTTACCAAAAACATCCATCTATATATGTAAATGTAGTGTAATATATAGAAATACTTTGTGTATTGGAATAATGAAAAAATTATTGCCGACGCACGCTGACATCGTTAACCAACATTTTAGTTCGACGGGCGTAAATTTGTATTCGACTTAAAGCACGTCGTACTTAATTAAACATTATAATACATTCTACGCTCTGTTCGTTGTCTACTTAATTAGGGGGAGATGCCACCTGAGACGCATGAAAATCATAGTTCAACAATTTTTAAAAATTAACAGCTTACAGAGAATGACAAGACGAAATTTTGTTTATATTTACAGTTTATTCATCCGACGTTTAGTTTCGTAAATAACAATTTAAAACTTAAGTCGAAATTCTTTCACATTTCGTACAGATACCAATCTATCAAAAGTAAAGAATCTGTTACTGTTTATTAACATTTAATTACGAATGGATAAGCCAGCTAACGATGCTTTTCATTTTCACGTTCGAGACAACTTCCAGTGAGACAATTGTTCCTTGGCCTTAACAATTATGTGTATCGAAGAGAGAAATACATTACATAACTGTGACCGTTTGTATTATACACGAAACAAAGTCCTAAATTGATTCCATCCTCGTGCAGAAGAGACATAATTCTATCCATGATATTTCTCGAGAATAGTGCAAGTAATAAAAAGTACACAAATGTTCGACGAATACGTTTAATCAACATTTAATACTTTTTGTATCTGGGAATGTTGCTTTCTAAATAAACATTGCAATAACAATCTGGAACTTCGAGACGCAGTTAGAATTTATATATTTAATACTTTTTATATCTGGGAATGTTACTT